AGCTGTGGCTCCTTCGGCGAGATGATCGGAGGCTACGGCGTCTTTGGCAGTGGTGCCTACATCGAGAAGACCTTCGACCTGAGCGATGCTCCGCACGGCATGGTGCGTGTCGAGGTGACGTTTGTGGTGATCGACTCGTGGGACCGGGAGGACGCCCAGGTGTGGGTTGGCGACAGCCTCGTCGCCTCTCACCAGATCCGCTACGGCGGGTCGAACCAGTGCGGCGGAAGCTGGGGCGACTACGGGCCGGTGGAGCTCGCCGCGGTCGTGACGACCTCAGCCGTCAACCTGCCAGTCCGGATCACCTCCACCGTCAACCAAGGAGCGAGCGACGAGTCGTGGGGCGTGCAGAGCGTGCGAATCCTTGTCGCGAACGCGCCGCCGGCGCCCCCGGCCGTTCCACCGCCCCCGTCCTCCCCGCCGTCACCGCCGTCACCGCCGCCATCGCTGCCGAGCTTCTGGCAGACCATCGCCCACCAAGACATCCAGGCCGCTCGGTTCCCCAATTCCGCCAGAACCTCCTTCGCGGCCGGGATGTCAGCGGACGACGACGCCTACATGGCCCTGCCTGCCGACCATGAGTCGTTCCGGCGCGATGGCGTCTTCACCTTCCGACTGACCTATGGCGGCGGCACGATGCTGGCGGCCGGCAACCCCGACTGGCTCACGTCGACCTGGACGCAGACCAACTGGGTCACGGAGGGCTCGCCGGGCACGCTGACCTGCCTCGACGCAGGATGCACAAAGTGGAATGCCGCGACCGATTGCTCCAAATTCAAGGGGCTCGCAAAGAGCAACAGCGGCTGCGCAGTGCTCGACGGCAATGGCCTGGAAGGCTGCTGGTTCAACCCGGTGGGCTCCATTTGTGAGTGGAGCGGAGGGATGCCGGTCGCGCACTTACGGGTCGCCGACATCATGACGCTGGATCTCCTTTGGACATCGGTGCCGCCGCCTTCGCCGCCGACGCCGCCCCTCCCTCCTCTGGCGCCGCCGCCCCCCCCTCTCACACCGAACGACGACCAGTTCCTAGCTGACTCCTGGGCGCGAGCGAGCAGGGGCAATTGCATCGCGAAGGTGCACGGGCTGGCGGCCTTCACGCTCGAGTTTTCGTTCCGCCTCCCGCGCCCCGATGCCATGCAGACCAACGCTGGGACCATCCTGCGCATCGCACGCACCAACGACGACACGACACAGCCTGGGTACCGGCTGCCCCTCGTCGGGCTGAGGACGCACGATGGCGGCACACCGGACGTGCCGGTCCTCTACGTGGACCACCTCAACGAGTACGAGCGCTTGGCGGGAAGCCGGCGCGTCGAATTCCTGCTCCCCATCCTCTCGCCACCACCGATGCCGCCTGCCTCGCCACACCCGCCAGCCGCCCCCGGCTGGACCCTCGCCGTCGCCGATGCTTTCCCCGGCGCCACCGGCTGGAGCAGCAACAGGCTCCTCGTCCATACCAGCTGCGGCTCCTTTGGCGAGATGATCGGAGGCTACGGCGTCTTTGGCAGTGGTGCCTACATCGAGAAGACCTTCGACCTGAGCGATGCTCCGCACGGCATGGTGCGTGTCGAGGTGACGTTTGTGGTGATCGACTCGTGGGACCGGGAGGACGCCCAGGTGTGGGTTGGCGACAGCCTCGTCGCCTCTCACCAGATCCGCTACGGCGGGTCGAACCAGTGCGGCGGAAGCTGGGGCGACTACGGGCCGGTGGAGCTCGCCGCGGTCGTGACGACCTCAGCCGTCAACCTGCCAGTCCGGATCACCTCCACCGTCAACCAAGGAGCGCGCGACGAGTCGTGGGGCGTGCAGAGCGTGCGAATCCTTGTCGCGGACGCGCCACCGCCGCCACCGCCGCCATCGCCGCCATCGCCGCCATCGCCGCCACCGCCGCCATCGCTGCCGAGCTTCTGGCAGACCATCGCCCACCAAGACATCCAGGCCGCTCGGTTCCCCAATTCCGCCAGAACCTCCTTCGCGGCCGGGATGTCAGCGGACGACGACGCCTACATGGCCCTGCCTGCCGACCATGAGTCGTTCCGGCGCGATGGCGTCTACACCTTCCGACTGACCTATGGCGGCGGCACGATGCTGGCGGCCGGCAACCCCGACTGGCTCACGTCGACCTGGACGCAGACCAACTGGGTCACGGAGGGCTCGCCGGGCACGCTGACCTGCCTCGACGCAGGATGCACAAAGTGGAATGCCGCGGGCGGTTGCTCCAAATTCAAGGGGCTCGCAAAGAGCGACAGCGGCTGCGCAGTGCTCGACGGCAATGGCCTGCAAGGCTGCTGGTACAACCAGGTGGGGGGCATTTGTAAGTGGAACGGAGGGATGCCGGTCGCGCACGGATGGGTCGCCGACATCATGACGCTGGATCTCCTTTGGGGATCGTTGCCGCCGCCTTCGCCGCCGACTATCGGCAGGCGCGCACAGGAGGCAGGGCCGCGTTCTTGGAGCGACGAGCACAGGCTGCGCGTGGAGGTGACGACGACGACCATGGCCGTCTACCTCGACGGCATCAGCAAGGGCTACGTCGACTTGTACCCGGCGGGCAATGCCAATCGCAACCCACCAAGGCGCGCGCACCCCTCGAGCGCACCCCTCCCCTCTCCTCACTGCCCTCACCGAGCTCACGGCGCGCCGTGCCCCCTCGGTGCGTAGGTTTGACGAGGAGCACGACCTCTGCATTGGCGACCCCTGGAACCCCGCCGCCTCCGCCGAAGTCCGCGGCATCACCATCCAGCGGCCGCCGCCGCCGCCCTCGCCGCCGCCGTACCCGCCCTCGCAGCCCTCGCCGCCGTCTCCGCCGCCACCCTCCCTCTCGCCGTCGCTTCCGCCGCCGCAGCTCCAGATCGGCCCGCCCACGCCACCGTCCCTGCCGCCGCCACCTCCGTCTTCGCCTCCGCCTCCGCCGGCGCCGCCGCCGTCGCCGCCATCGCCTCCGCCGGTGAGCGATGCCGCCAGCTGCGCCGCCCACGAATGCTGCCTCGTCCTGCTCGCTGGCGCTCGCGGCAGCAACTGCGCGCCGGTGCCGGTGTGGGGGATGGAGGGCGATGTCCGCGATTTTTACGATCGGCGATCGATGTGCGGGAGCGTCATTGCCTACTGGGCCGAGGAGGCCAGGCTGCTCTGGGTGCCGGACAGCGACCCCGAGGATGCAAGTGCGACTCACCAACAACTGCTCCTCTCCAACAACGGCGGGGTTGGGCGCCGCGCCGGCACGTACATCGACGTCGAGTGCAACCCTCGGCCCCCCGCGCCACCCTCGGCGCCGCCAGTGCCGCCGCCACCGCCCTCGCCGCCGCCGCCCTCCCCGCCGCCTCCGACTGTCGACTCCCCGCCCCCGCCGCCGCCGCCAGCCACGCCAACGACCGAGCCCACTCACTGGGACATCGACTGGGGCTTCTCGTGCGCCTCGCCAAATTGCCCGGCCGCGTCGCGCTACGACGTCCGTACCTGCGACACAGTCACGTGGACGATTGAGGACGGGATGCACGACGTCGTCTCGGGCCCACGCGGTGCGGCGGATGGCCATTTCAACAGCGGCCTGCTTAGCACCGGCGAGACATTCACCGTCAAGTTTGATGAGGCTGGCTCTTACCAATACCACTGCACACCGCACGGAACCATGAACGCCGTCATCGTCGTTCAAGGCGAACCTTGCCCCAACTCTCCCCCCACCCCCCCGTTGCTGGCATCCTCGCCGCCGCCGCCGCCGCCGCAGCAGCCCCCCGCCTCACCGACGGTGACGCTTCCACCGGCGCAGTGCACCGTCGTCGGAGCCGGGCCGGGCGGCGTCCTAGCGGCGGACGTGATGGCGGGCGCCGACGGGTGCGGGGGTTCACTACGGCTCTTTGAGCGAGGGGATCTGCCACTCGAGGGGACGTACGACACGCTGCCGTTCTTCGAGACCTTCAACAAGCAAGAGGTGTACATTGTGGGTACGTACAATGGCGCCGAGCTGCCGTTTGCCGGTGTGTTTGGCGGGCAGCAGACAACAAACGGCGGGGTGTTCGCTCCGGGCACCGCGGCGGAACTGGCGGCAGGGCTCGCGATCGGCACTGCGGCAGCCCAGGCGGCGCAAGCCTGCGCGGCTGCCTCGGTCAACGCCACTTACTGGAAGCCGCTGCTCGGAGCCGTGCCCCCGCCCGTGCAACACATCGAGGGCCAGACCCTGCTCGATCACAATGGCATGCTCGCGACCTGTGTCAACGAGACGGGCTGCGCCTGGGGCGACATGCTCATGCCTCCGGGCTTCCACACCCCAGGGAGTGCCGACTCCATCCGCCGCCGCACCGTCGCGCACGGTGTGCACGGCAGTGGCGCGCCCGACTATGCCACCTTGGGCGCGGAGGTGCGCTCGATCGACTTTGAGGAGGATCCGAACAGCGGCGAGCTGATGGCGGCGGCAGTCCGTCTCTCGGACGGCACAGTCTCCCCGGTGGCTAACGGCGGCAAGGTTCTCCTCGCCGCCAGCTCGATTGGCTCGGCCAGCATCTTGGCGCGCAGCCGACCGGACCTCTACTCCTCATTCACCTTCAACAATCACTACTACACTGCAAGCTTCCTACTCCCCTCGTCCGTGTGCGTCCCGGCCGGCGACGGTGAGGTCTGCGGCGAAGGGCCGCCGGCGAGCACCCACTCGCACAACTGGAACTACGGCTTCGTCACGCCCGGCAACGGCGACTGCGCGGGCCAATCGTTCGAGGTGGACCTCCGCGGGAACTACCCGGTGCCAGACGCGCCCTACCAGGTCATCCTGCTGCAGATGGAGCCCGAGATGCGCTCGCACGGCGGCTGGAACGCCTCGACGGGCTTGATTGACCTCGTTGACGAGCCGCCCACCGAATGCGACCTGCTCGCGCGCCGGCAGGCGATCAACATCACCTCAGCGTCGTGGGGCGCATTCACGCCCGGCTTCTCCCTCGACTCCTCCCACGCCGCCGTCGCCGCCTGGCCGCAAGGGTGGCACTGGGCCGGCGGAATACCTCTCGTCGATGGCTCGTCGCGTGTCGCCGGCACGACGAACGTCTTCTCGGCCGACGCCGGTGCTGTGCGCAAGCCCTTCAACTGCCACACATCGATGGTCTCCGCCGCCGCCGGCGTCATCGCCGGCATGGAGGCGCTCGGCCTCCCCACCGCCGACTGCATGGACCACATCACGGCCAGTTTCCCTCCGCCGCCGCCGCCGCCAGTGTCCTCGGAGCAAATGGTTGCGTGCATCATGTCGTGCGACGATGCCACCCTCTCGGCCTACCGCTCCTGCAACATGGCGTGCCACGGAATGTACTCCCCGAGCCCACCGCCTCCGCCGCCGCCTCCGTCCGCCTCGCCGTCGCCGCCGCCGCCGTCCGCCTCGCCGTCGCCGCCGCCGCCGTCCGCCTCACCGTCGCCGCCGCCGCCGTCCGCCTCACCGTCGCCTCCGCCTCCGTCCGCCTCGCCGTCGCCGCCGCCTCCGTCCGCCTCGCCGTCGCCGCCGCCTCCGTCCGCCTCACCGTCGCCGCCGCCGCCGTCCGCCTCACCGTCGCCGCCGCCTCCGTCCGCCTCACCGTCGCCGCCGCCGCCGTCCGCCTCACCGTCGCCGCCGCCTCCCTCCGCCTCGCCGTCGCCGCCGCCTCTGTCCGCCTCACCGTCGCCGCCGCCTCCGTCCGCCTCGCCGCCGCCGCCGCCTCCGTCCGACTCACCGTCGCCGCCGCCTCCGTCCGCCTCGCCGTCGCCGCCGCCTCCGTCCGACTCACCGTCGCCGCCGCCGCCGTCCGCCTCGCCCTCGCCGCCGCCTCCGTCCGACTCGCCGTCGCCGCCGCCGCCGTCCGCCTCGCCGTCGCCGCCGCCTCCGTCCGCCTCGCCGTCGCCGCCGCCTCCGTCCGCCTCGCCGTCGCCGCCGCCTCCGTCCGCCTCGCCGTCGCCGCCGCCTCCGTCCGCCTCGCCGTCGCCGCCGCCTCCGTCCGCCTCGCCGTCGCCGCCGCCTCCGTCCGCCTCGCCGTCGCCACCGCCCGCGCCTCCGTCGCCGCCACCAGCAGCGCAGCCGCCGTCGCCGCCGCCGCCATCGCCGCCTCCCCCATCTCCGCCGCCCCCATCTCCGCCGCCATCCGCCTCGCCCTCGCCGCCGCCTCCCTCCGCCTCGCCGTCGCCGCCGCCTCCGTCCGCCTCGCCGTCGCCGCCTCCTCCCTCCGCCTCGCCGTCGCCGCCGCCTCCATCCGCGTCGCCATCGCCGCCGCCCGCGTTGCCCCCCCCTGCTTTGCCTCCGAGCCCGCCGCCGCCCACGCCGCCGCCGCCACAGCCGCCTCCGCCGTCACCGCCACCGCCCGTGACGCCACCGCCCACACCGCCAGCTCCGTCGCCGCCGCCGCCCATGCCGCCGCCGCCGATGCCTCCGCCGCCATCGCTGCCGCCATCGCTGCCGCCCCCCACCCCGCTGCAGCCGCCCCCGCCTTCCCCGCCCCCTCCAGTCCCGCCGCCCTCGGCGCCGCCCCCCGCCTCGCCTCCTTCAATGCCGCCGCCGCCGCCGTTGCCGCCTCCCTCCGCCTCGCCGTCGCCGCCGCCTCCGTCCGACTCTCCTCCCTCGTGCTACCCGGTCTCCGAGGCGGCGGCGGCGGCGCAGGCATGAGAGCACCTTAGACGCTGTTCCCTCACGTGAAGGCACAATCCTCTCGCTCTCGCTCTCTCACCCCCCCCCCCCCTCCCCCGACAGGCCGGCCCGGCTTGCTCGTTTGTGAGACAGCAGTTCCTCCAGTGCATGACAAACACCCAAGACAACTTCGAGCAGTGCTCGGCCTTCTACGTGCGCAGTCCCTTATCCCCGCCCCCGCCCCCGCCCCCACCCTACCCCAGCCCCACCCCCACCTCCGCCCACTCCCACCCCAGCCCACTCCCACCATACCTCTCTCCCTCCCTCCCCTCCCTCCCCTCCCTCCCTTCCCCCCTCCCCCCGCTCCCACACCAGCGCACCCCCTTCCGCCCCCGCCACACACACACACAGAACACGCACGCGAACGCACGCACGCGCGTACTCGCTCTCCCACGCTCCTCTCCCCTCCCTGCCCCGCCACAGGACATGTTCAAGAAGCAGTGCCAGGGGCTGCTCGACCTTCGCACGGCCACCACGTACCAGGACTTGAGCATCTTCGACAAGCAGGCGCCCGTGAACGACCTGTCGTTCGCCGACAGCACGACGGGACGGCCGTGGGCCGAGTGCGGCCACTACACAAGGCAATGGTGGGGCGTCGACCTCGGGAGCGAGATGTATGTGCGCTACGTGCGGCTGCAGAACCGCAAAGACTGCTGCCCGGAGCGGCTGACGGACGTCGACATCTATCTCGGCTCGACGGCGGAGACGTACACGGGCAACGCGCTGGTGAAGTCGGACGTGAGCGTGTCGTCGAACGTGATGTTGGAGGTGGAGATCAACGCGTTGGGGCGCTACATCTACCTCAACCGGCCGTCTGCGGCGGGGCTGACGGTGTGCAAGTTCTACGTCTTCGCTACGCCCGCGCCGCCGCCGTCACCATCACCGCCTCCACCGCTGCCGCCACCTCCGCCGCCACCGTCGCCGCCGCCGCCGCCGCCGCCACCTCCGCCGCCACCGTCGCCGCCGCCGCCGCCGCCGCCACCTCCGCCGCCACCGTCGCCGCCGCCGCCGCCAGCGCCGCCGCCGCCGCCGCCGCCGCCTGACGTGCAGCTGCTCGACCTCAGCGCCGCCACCACGTACCAGGACTTGAGCATCTACGACAAGCAGGCGCCCGTGAGCGACCTTGCATTCGCCGACAGCACGACGGGACGGCCGTGGGCCGAGTGCGGCCACTACACAAGGCAATGGTGGGGCGTCGACCTCGGGAGCGAGATGTATGTGCGCTACGTGCGGCTGCAGAACCGCAAAGACTGCTGCCCGGAGCGGCTGACGGACGTCGACATCTATCTCGGCTCGACGGCGGAGACGTACACGGGCAACGCGCTGGTGAAGTCGGACGTGAGCGTGTCGTCGAACGTGATGTTGGAGGTGGAGATCAACGCGTTGGGGCGCTACATCTACCTCAACCGGCCGTCTGCGGCGGGGCTGACGGTGTGCAAGTTCTACGTCTTCGCCTCAGCCGCACCGCCTGGGCGCTAAATGGAGGAGGAGGAGCCCCCCCCCCCCCCCCCCCGCGCGGCTCACCGAACCGGCCCCGCTCCTCCCGCGGCAGCCATGTTTGCCACCCTCAGCCGGCGCCAGCGCATGGCGGTCAAGCTGCGGCGGAACGAGAAGCGCATCCTGCTCCGCACGATCCGCGTCTGCGAGCAGGAGCTGGCCGAGTTCGATGTGAGCGAGGCGAGACTATAGAGGGGTGGTGCCGCGCGAGGGGGCAGAGCACAAAAGCACGTAGATAAAATGCTTGCAGCCGGTGTTTTGCGGTCAAGCCAGACCGGAACACAGTAAGAGATATCACTTTACGGGAATCCCAATGGTGCCTCCTGACACGGCCGACAGAGGGCACAAAATGAAAACCACGACCGCATGACGGCGATCTCGGCGTCCCTTTTCGCCGGCTTTGCTCGCCCTCGGTGCCCTCGGATTCGCATACAGCTGAGAGAGAGAGAGAGAGAGAGAGAGAGAGTAAGCTAAAAGTACGTACAGCTCAGAGAGAGTCAAGCTGTAGTGGGCTACTCGATTCTCTGGTAGGACGGGAACGAGATGATAGTAGGGAGTAGAAGAAAGCAAACAGGACTCAGGAGCCCCTGCGCACGCACGACTCCGCAGGGGAGAAGCCCCTCCCCAAGACAAAACACAAGGGAGAGGTGGGTGGGGGTCACAGAAGACTGCGGCCGCCAGCGACTGAGTCAGTCTCGCAGGCGGACGGGGAGAACACTACGAAGGGCCGTCCGAAACACAACTACTACGAAGGGACGTACGGACGTCCATCACTGGGATGAGATCGGGAGATCATGACAGATCTGCCGAATATCTCCCGACTCTAAAAAGCCGCCCGAAGGAGCGCCGCCTCAACACGGGGTCTCGGCTCTATCGAGCCATGCTAGCTCCAGCCGCAGCCCCACCCGGCCGCCCGAGGGTGTTCCCGCAGGCAGAGAAGACTAATCCTGGGGGAAGCAACCGTAACGAGATCCTCCATTCGATCCCCCCAGCCCGCCCAGCGCCTACGGCCTGAGCAAGCCTCTCGGTCGTGGCACATACGATAGCTTCGTCTCTCACACGTGGCGCTCGAACTCGATTGCAAAGTGGCTGGCATTCAACTACCAGTTTGCGCTGAAGGCAACGCACGTCAGTGCCTTCATCATCTTCCTGATGCAGCTCTGGCGCTTTGCGCTCGGAGGGACACTGCCCGTGCTCGGCGTATACCTGGTCCCGGGCATGGCGGGCTGGCACCCCGGTGGGCCCGCCGCGGCGACAGCTTGTTTGTTAGCCCTCTATCTAGCGGAGTGGGCCCCGAGTTTGAAAAGGGCGACGGACTTGCGTCCTAGCCTCCAACAACGCCTCCCCGGCGCAGAGGGGCTCCCCGGAGGGATGCACAACCGCTCCACGCCACGCCGCTTGCGGCGGTCCTGCCCACGTTACCCGGTCATGTACGCACGTTTCTCTCTTTTGCGGGCATAGAGCATGATACTCTCGTGAGGCTGTGAAAGCACGCCCACCCTAGCGGGATTGCACTTGCCCCCGAAGGTAGTGCGTCTGATTCACAGCTTAGGAGAGTAAGAGCATGAGCGCATGGCCCCGGGGTATGTACATGAGCGCATGCCTCGCCGACCTGGCTCGGGGCGACCTGGCCTGGCTGCGCGCCTTCCTCTCTGGGCAGGGGACGCGCGGCACGTCGCTCGCGGCCCAGCTCGACGCGCGGCACGACACCGAGCGGCAGGACACGCTGCTCACCTGGGCCGCTCGGCACGGGCAAGCCGAGGCGGTGCGGCTGCTGCTCGAAGGCGGCGCGAGCGCCGGGGCGACCGACGGCGAAGGCGCCACCGCCCTCCTCCTCGCGTGCGCTGGGTGCTACCCCGAGTGCGTCCGGCTGCTCCTCGAGGCCAGCGCGGCGGTCGGCCAAGCTGCTGATGGCGGCTACACGCCGCTGTACGTCGCGTCCCATAACGGCGAGCACGAGTGCGTCCGGCTGCTCCTCGAGGCCAGCGCGGCGGTCGGCCAAGCTGCTGATGGCGGCTACACGCCGCTGTACGTTGCGTCCCATAAAGGCGAGCACGAGTGCGTTCGGCTGCTCCTCGAGGTTGGCTCTGCGCCCAACCAAGCCGCGGATGATGGCGTCACGCCGCTGTTCATGGCGTGCCAGGAAGGGCAGATCGAGTGCGTCCGGCTGCTCCTCGAGGCGGGCGCGGCGGTCAACCAAGCAGACGCTGAAGGCTACACGCCGCTGTACGTCGCGTGCCAGCAGGGCCACCTTGAGTGCGCTCGGCTGCTCCTCGAGGCCAGCGCAGCGGTCAATCAAGCCGCGAAGGGTGGCTCCACGCCGCTGTTCGTCGCGTGCCAGGAGGGCCAGCACGAGTGCGTCCGGCTGCTCCTCGAGGCTGGCGCGTCGGTCAACCAAGCCAAGGATGACGGTACCACGCCGCTGTTCGTGGCGTGTCAGAACGGCCACCTCGAGATCGTCCGGCTGCTTCTCGAGGCTGGCGCGGCGGTCGACCAAGCCACGCCGAACGGCGTCACGCCGCTGTACATGGCGTGCCAGAATGGCCACCTCGAGTGCGCCCAGCTGCTGCGCGACGCTGGCGCGGCCGTCAACCAGGCCAAGCCGAACGGCGTCACCCCGCTGTACATCGCGTGCGAGAAGGGCCACCTCGAGATCGCCCGGCTGCTGTGCAACGCTGGCGCGGCGGTCAACCAAGCCCGCAACGACGGCACCACGCCACTGTTCATCACGTGCCAGGAGGGCCACCTCGAGTGCGTTCGGCTGCTTCTCGAGGCGGGCGCAGCGATCGACCAGGCCGATGAGCAAGGCGCCACGCCGCTGTTCGCGGCGTGCCAGGACGGCCACCTCGAGGTCGCCAAGCTCCTCTCCTCCTACGGCGCCTCCCGCGCCGCTACGCCCTTCGGCACGCCCGAGGAGGTCGCAACCGAAGAAGGCCACGCCGACCTCGCCGCCTGGCTGGTCGCCAGCCGCGGCTGGACGCCGCTCGCGCACCTTGAGACCCTCACCGCCGCCCGCGCCACCTCCCTCCTGCGCAGCGGCGCGAGCTTGCACGAGGGCGAGCCGACGCCGCTGCGGCGCGCCGCGGGCGGCGAGGGCGAGGCGGCGGCGCTGGTCCGGCGGGCGGCGGCGCCGTGGTCGCCGGCAAGCCACTCGCTCTTCCCCGCGGCGGCCCGCGCGCGGGCGGCGCTCCTCGTCCGCTCGATCTACGAGATCCACGAGCGGTACCACCTCGACTCGGCCGGAGCCACGAACGGCATCGCGGCGCTCGACTTTGGCCACTGCGTCTTGGGCTTCGCCATCGCGCGCGAGACGCAGTAGGGGAGTTGCAGTTGGTTCGCGCTCTCTCACGCTCACGGCGCTGTCTTTGAGTTTGCGCGCCTTGTGCTGCTGCACGCGGTGGCAAGCGAGGGAGAAGAGTAGAGAGTAAAAATGTCCTCGGTTTCGCCTCAGATTTTGCCACTTTGTTAAAAAATTGAGTGAGATTAGTTATAGTTACAAGTTAGTTAGGAAGGTGAAGAGAACAGCCAGGCTCGGACTGGACACCAACGCGGTACGATGTGGGTGGACGCTAGACAGATGATGACGACACGGCACACGCACGAGCGACACACAGACACAAAACAGGCTCACAAGACACACAGGTCACAGCCAGCTGGCTGCCACACACCCGGAGTTGGCGTACACATAACTCAGGGCCACGTTCTCCCTTTCGCCCCCCCCAGCACTCCGAAAAAAGAAAAAGAGCAGGGAGTCATCGAGAGTCGTCCAGAGCCCAGAAGAGCCCAGCGCAGGTCCGGCCACTCTCAAGTGTCTCGCTCCACTCTCCCGCCGGGCCCCACCCCGTGGGGCCGCCCGCGCCAAGCCAGCGTGTCCACACCCGCCGCCCGCCCAGCCCACCCCTCACAACGAGCTAATCTCGCGATCCCGCTCGCGTGCACACCGCCATCTAACGATTCGCCCCGCCCCTCCCCCGCAGAGAAAGAAGGCAGCGGCCCAGACCCTGCCCCCGAACAAGAGTCCCAGAACAAGATGGCGACCGTCATCGTGAAGATCTCAGGCAACAACCAGACCCGGCGCTGGACGGCACGGGCTGACCACCTCACGTTTGCATCGATCCAGAAGCGCGTCGCGGACAACTTCCAGACGCCGAAGTTTTACCTGACCTACAAGGACGACGAGGACGACGACATCAACGTCTCGACCGACGAGGAGCTGCAGGAGGCCGTCTCCCTCGCTCTCAAGACCGAGCCGGCCGTCCTCCGCCTCAAGCTGGTCGAGGGGCTCTCGCCCGCCGCGGCGCGGCCCTCCCCGCCGACCACCTCGCCGCCCCCGGCGGCGCCTTCGGCGCCGGACGCCGCGCCGCAGGGCGGCGCCAACGCCCCCCCCGCGCCGGCCGAGCTGAACCCGCACGTCTTCTTCCAGAACCTGGCCGACGCGCTCCCGCAAGTCATGAGCGCGTTGCCGCCCCCCCTCCAGAGCATCCTCTCGCAGATGGAGCTCGACACCGCGGCGTCGGCCGCGGCGAACGCGGCCGCCAACGCGGCGTCGCGCGGCGCCTCGTCCGCCTCGGGCGCCGCCGCCACCGGCCTCGGTGCCGCCGCCCACGCCGCCCGCCTGGCGTCGGGACTGGCCGCAAAGGCGTCCGACGCCGCGGCCGGCGCGGCGGCGGCGGCGGCGGCGCGGGCGTCGGACCCGGAGCGGGAAGGCTACCACCCGAACGTGACGTGCGACCGCTCCGGCATGTCGCCCATCGTCGGGCTCCGGTACAACCTCATCGGCCACGACTACGACCTGTGCGAGGCGGAGTTTGAGAAGCTGTCCGCCGACCTCAAGCCGCTCTACAAAGCCATCCACCCGGTGGCATTCCGGCGCAAGGCCGGCGCCGCCGCGCCGCCCTCGGACGCGACCGGCTTCCACCCGGGCGTGACGTGCGACAAGAGCGGCATGTCCCCCATCGTCGGCATCCGCTACCACCTCTCGGGCCACGACTACGACCTTTGCCAGGTTTGAGGGACCTAGCCTAGCCGAGGCACAGCCGCGGAGTACATCTCTAGCCGAGGACACATCCGTGACCGCCCCCCCCCCCCCCCCCTCCCCTCCGCGCCAGGCCGAGTACGACAAGCTCCCCGAGGCGGAGAAGCTCCGCTTCTGCGCCATCCCGCCGCCGTGCGGCCGCGGCGGCCCGTGGCGCCGCGGCGGAGGCTACGGCCGCTGCGGCTCGTGGGGCGGCGGCTTCGGAGGCGGCGGCTTCGGAGGCGGCGGCCCGGGAGAGCGGTGGGCGCCCCCGTGGGCCCCCGCCGGGCGGCGGGCGTGCCACCCGCACCGCGAGTCCGGCCACGGCGCGGACGGCGACCCGCGCCGTCTGGCGGCGCGCTTCGTCTCTGACGTGTCTGTGCACGAGGGCACCGAGGTTGCCCCGCGGGCCGCCTTCACCAAGATCTGGCGCCTCAAGAACTCCGGCACCGTGCCGTGGATGCCGGGCTGCAAGCTCGCCTTCGTCGGCGGCGACCAGCTCTCCGCCGACTCGGCCGTCGACCTCCCCGACATCGGCCCCGTGCTGCCGGGCGCGGCCGTCGATGTGGCGGTCGACATGGTCGCGCCCGCCGAGCCGGGCCGCTACGTCGGCTACTGGCGCCTCACCGGCCCGCACGGCCGCCGCAAGTTTGGGCAGCGCGTGTGGGTGCACATTCAGGTGGTGGCCGACCCGGACGGGCCCGTGCAGGAGCCGTCGGCGGAGGATGTCGCGATGTTCGCGTCGGCGCGCACCTTGCCGCACGGCGACGAGGACGAGGCGGACGACGACGACGACGAGCGCGCCAAGGCGCCGTCGGCGGGCCGCCGCGTTGTCGTGCACGGGCCGCACGGCGCGCTGACGCTCGAGGGCGTCGACGAGTCGACCGACGTCCAGACGCTCAAGCGCATGATTGAGGAGCGCACCGGAGTGCCCGTCGGCGAGCAGGAGCTCTTCGCGCCCAACCAAGAGGCCCCGGCCGAGGCGCGGGCCGAGGCGGAGGGCGCCGCCAACGAGGCGGCCGAGGCGGCTCGCAAGGCGGCCGCGGCGGCAGAGGCGGCGCACAAGGAGGCCGAGGCGGCCGAGGCGGCTCGCAAGGACGAGGCCAAGCTCGCTGCGGAGCTCGCTGTCGCCCAGGCTGCTGAGGCCGAGGCGGCCGAGGCGACGACCAAGCTCAAGGAGGCCGAGGCAGCTCGCAAGGCGGCCGAGGCGGCCGAGGCGGTCCAGGCTGCTACGCGCGACGCGTCCGCCCTGAAGGAGGTTGCCGCGGCAGAGCTCGCGGCCATGGGCTTTGAGGACGCCGAGCTGGTCCGCGGCGTCGTCGACAAGAACACGGGCGCCGAGGGCGTCAACCTCGAGCGGTGCGTGACCGCCCTGACGGCGCTCTCCGAGGTGGAGTGGGACACGATGCTCGACGACCTCGCCGAGATGGGCTTCGACGACCGCGCGCTCAACAAAAAGATGCTCGTCATGTCGGACGGCTCGATCAACAAGACCGTCAAGCAGCTCGTGAACACCAAGGAGACCAAGGAGGCCGCCAAGCAGCCAATGGAGCTCGACTGAAGCTCTCCGAACGGGCGCTGAGCGGGACACCCGCCGTCCGCCCGCCGCCCCCGCGCCGCCCGCGCGCAAGGCCCCTCGGGCCGTGCGGTTGGTGTGGGGGGTACGGCGGGCGGGCGACGCGTCCGTCCGTCATAGATGGTTGGGATGAGGGTCGGGGGAAGGCGGAGCTAGCCTCGCGTCTTGAGTGCCGGACCGGCGCGCGGTTCGTCGAGCCCTGGGAGGTGTGTGTGCGCGAGACCAGTTCCCGGATCCCGCGGCGCGCCGGTTGGTCTTTTGCGTGTGTCGCTGTCGGCCGGTGCGGACGGTGTAGCGGACCCAGTCGGGCGGGGGGGGAGCGTTCCAGCGAGAGTCGTGCGGTGAGCGCGAGAGACTGAGAGTCTCACGTCTCGCGCGCTCGCGCGCGCACTCTGCATTCGTGTTGTCCCCGTTTTATCTGAGCAAGTTTCTGGACATATCTGGATTTCATACACAGACTGCTGCGGAACCGCAATCCGCTACCTGGCGCGCAGCGAGCCCCCGTGGCGCGTATCGAGCGCGTATCGTCTATCGAGCGCGTATGGCTATAGCGTGAAACGTGTAGCGCCGTCGAGCATGAAAACAAGGACCATCGATGCGTCGCATGCACATGTCGTAATCCTCGTCGCTCCCACACGGCCCGCCTCGCAGGCGCAATCGCAAACACGCAGAAGGCTTGGCGCTGGAGCGAGACGCGGTGCCTGTCGGAGCCGCAGCCCGCCGCCCCCGCGAGGAGGCGCCGCCGAGCCTACGCCGCCTCGGCGTCGCGGTTCGAGATGAGGGAGAGGAAGCAGTTGTAGCCTACGGGCGTGCCGGGGACGCGTCGACGACTCGCGCCGCGAGGGGGGGGCGGCGCGGCGCCGCCCGCCGATCTGGATGCTGTTGATGTAGAGGACGCGCTGGGAGCTGGGGATGAAGCGGAAGTTGATGGCGTGCGCGAGGGGCCAGACCTTCCAGCTGCCGGTCACCTGCCGCGGGCGGGCGGCGGGGGGCGTCGCGCCGTGGCATGCGTGCCCACGCCCAGGGCCGCCTCTGGCGCGCTCAGAGGTGTGTCGGCGTGCGCCGTGTCGGCGCGGACGGTGCGGGTCGGGGGTCACAGGGGGAGAGTGAGGGGGGGAGGGGGGGTGTGGGGGATGACGAAAAGAGGGCCCCTTCGTCATCAGCTCGTTGCGGGTCTTGTCGATGACGTACTGCAGGCCCTTCCACTCGAGGCACGCGACGTACGAGAAGAACATGATGCCGAAGATTGGGTTCCACAGCACCTGGAATCATAAAAAAGAAGAACATGATTCCGAAGACTGGGTTCCACAGCACCTGGCCGCCGGCGACTGGAGTGAGCAGGCGAAGCACGGCGCAGGGCGGCGACGTCTCCGACCTCTCCGAGGGCGCCACCGCTGACGCTGGGACGCATCCCCGCGCCACGAGCGTCACCGCAGCCCCCTTTTCTCCCTCCCCCTCTCTGCCGCCCCCCTCGGGTGCTGGTCGCCTCCTGCCCGTCAGCGCGTGGAGGGCGGGCGCCGGGGGAGGGGGGCGGCACGGCGCGGGGAGGGAGGGGAGCGGCGGGAGGAGGGAGGCGCGCGGGCCTGGTCGATGAAGACCTTCGTGAAGACCGGCTGCGCGCCCTTGCCGGGGATGGCGCTGTCGAGCATCCCGTAGAACCTTCCAAACAAGCGGCGTGGCAGCGTCGGGCGGCCCGGCGAAACATCCGTTGGGGGAGTAGAGGGGGGGCGGGCTTGCCAGTGCGACGAGGTGCCGTGCACGAGGAAGCCGAAGCTGGCGAGGCGGAAGAGCCGGTACCTGGGGACATGGAGGTCTTGCTGAGCAAAACTTGTACGTGCGCGGGCCCGCCAAATGCGTCCACTCCCGCCGCCCGCTCAGGCGCGCAAAGAGATGGGTGTGGGATCCAAACCCCCGCGCGCTCCCGAGCGCACCAGTCGAAGTCCTGCTTCTGGATGAAGATCTGGGCCAGGATGTCGCCGATGGCGAAGCCGAGGAAGGACGTGAATGCCTTCATTAGGAGCGGCTTCTCGTCGAGCAGCTCGTTGTACTTCTTCCACGCGCTGGCGAATGGGTTGCTCTCGTCGTCGTCGCCGCCGGCCGACATCTGCGCGCCGTTGCCGCCGCCCACGCCGCTGCCACCGCCCACGCTGCCGTCACCCGGCGAGCATCCCTTAATCGTGGAGGAGCGGCGCACACTCAGGACCGCCTTGCGGAAGGTCTTGCTCCCGAGGATCATCTGCGGGGCGGCCGCGCGGAGGGGCGCGGCGGCCGGCGCCGTGCGGAGCAGCGCCGGCTGGCGCAGCAGCGCCGACGCCGGAGCGAGGAGGAGAGCAACGGAGAAGAGAAGACGCATTGCTAGCTATTTGCTGTCACCTTCGACGTGTTTCGGCGCGGCACCCCCCCCCCCCCCAGGCAGGCGCAGGACATTCTGCTTGCTGCTGCTGCTGCTGCTGCTGCTGCCGCTGCTGCCTCCGGTCCACCCGGGTACTCCCGGACAACTCGATGGAGATGCTCGCACGCCAGGCTGCGCGACTGCGCGACACCCGGCACAATTACTTACTCGTACGTAAGTGATTGAGAGAGAGACGTCCGGCCGTGCCCCGCGGGGGCGCGGTCGGCACCAGAAGGGGGTTGATACGTTCTCTAGAGACGACGTAGTCGTGGACGGCCGCAATCACAGTGGACGGACACGACGAGACGAGTGTGAAAGCACGGAGGCAACAAAACACACTAGGGTTCGGGAGAAGGCTAGGGTTAGGGAGAGAGTGCCTGACGGGCTTCGGCCCGACGTCCCCCCCCTCGACTTAGTCGAGTAACGACATAGTCGAGTAACCGTGCACTCTCGGATCACGATGCGTTAGGGAACGTGATGTTCATGACCGGAGATTTGATGTTCATGATCTTGTCACGAAGCTCGAAGAACCGTTTGGGCTTGAGCGGCTTCGTGAAGAAGTCGGCGAGGTTGGCGTCGCTACGCACGAAGGGGACGCAGAGGCGGTGCGCCTCGATGGCCTCGCGGATGTAGAAGTGGCGTCGCTCGACGTGCTTGAGCTTGCCATGGTGCTCCGGGTTGTAGGCGGAGGCGATGGCGGCCTGGTTGTCGACGTAAAGCTTCGTCGGCGGGCGCGGGGAGCCATCGGGGAGCGCGTCGACCTCCTCCTGCAGACGCCGGTACTGCTCGACGTCCTTGGTCGCCTCCGAGGCGGACATGATCTCGGCCTGGCAGGAAGAGAGGGAGACGGTGGGTTGCTGTTGAACCCTCCAGTCAAGCGTGGCGCCCCACAGGCGGACGAGCCAGCCAGACGTGGATCGACGGGCCGACCAGTCGGCGTCGCTGAAGGCGTGGAGCTCGTCGTCGGCGGCCGACTCGCCCCGACCGTTGTAGGTAAGACCAAGGTCAGGGTACTCGCGGAGGTAGCACAGGACGCAGTACACCTCCTCGAACAGAGCGGGTGTGGGCTTCGCCATGGCCCGGCAGAGGAGGCCGACGGGGAGCGCGATGTCGGGGCGCGTGTTCGAGACGAGGTAGAGAAGAGCCCCGAGGCAGCTCTGGAAGAGGCGGACGACGCGCAGCTCCCTCTCGCTGGTGTCGTCGGTGGCCGCTTGAACTCGCTCTGCGATGCTGAGGGTGAACGGCGTGTTGTTGGAGTGACGGGCGCCGGGCTCGGCGGGGTTCGGGAGCTCGGCGATGATCTGGTCGAGGTACTCGTCGAGGAGCTTGCGCACGTACGGCCCCTGCCCGACGTGAACACCGCCCTCGGCGAGTGGGGTGACCTGGACGTTGAGGATGTCGGAGAGCGGGCCCTCGTCCTCAGATTTCCACGAGGCGTCGATGTCGCGAACGAACTGCGCGTAGAGCGAGTCGGAGACAAGAGCCCCCTCGGCGTCGTAGAAGATGATGAGATCGTCGACGTAGACTCCGATGATGAGCTCGTCGTCCTCAGTGGTGATGCGGTAGATGCAGGGGTCCTCCTTGGACGGGATGAGGCCGGCGCCTCCTTCGTCGCGGGGACGCTCGAGCCAAGCAAAGAAAGCGCGCTGGAAGCGCCGCCCCGCCTGCTTCATGCCGTAGAGGGGCTTGAGGATGAGGCAGAGCTTGGGCTTGCCGTTCTCGTCGAGAGCGTTGGCGTGGCCGGCGGGCTGATGCATGACGACCCTCGTAGACTACCGCCTTTTTGTCCTTTGCCCTCGCCTCCCTTGCCCCCCTTAGAGTTGTACCTTTGCCGAACATGTCAACGCGAAACGAGATGACTTCCATCACGGAATGACACATTTCACCCAACTCACGTACAAACCCTCTGGGGGGGCGCGGGCGGCGGGGGCCCTAGAGGGTACCCATGCGGGGGGGAGATCCGTACTTGACAGAGCGGTCGCTCGTGCACCGCGTCTGGGGCTTTGACAGCTTTCGCGGACTGCCAGGTGCATGTCGGTCGGGTAGCCAGCTTCGCAGAGCGCACCTTGTACCCCGACCGCGGCCTGCAACTCCAACCGCATCATCTCTGCACGCTCTCGCAAGCTCCCCACGCGCACACGCCTCCGCGCGTTCATTCGCATCTCCCGCCATCGCGCAGGCTGGATAGGCGGCGGCGCGGCCGACGGCGTGGGGCTCGAAGCCGGACGAGTCGGTGGCGCGCGCGCGTGAGCCGAACCATGGCCGGACGGTCGTCGGCTAAGCGAGCGCGGCTCGGCGAGCGCCGATAGGGTGAGCGGCTTTCCAAAGTAGGCAAGTGGATGCTCTGACTCGCTATGAACTACTACGTATACGTAGTACCGCGCACACAATCCACCTGTCGCACGCTTCGTGATATCCCTTGCCTTGCGCGTGACGCGCTGTGCGTGCGATCCCTTGTGCGCCGCCGCCTTGCTGTCAGGTAAACCGTGTGCCGAGGCCGTCAGCAGATCTTCCTCGAGCACGCCGCCCCATTCTCGATACTCGTCTTGGAGGTGAACTTGTCGACATGGTCCGACTTGTAGAAGTTGTTGGTGCCCTCCTCGCGCAGCCACCTCTCGCCGCAAGGGCAAGGACAAGGGATTAAGAGAACGCAGCAGACGCCGGTCCCTATCCTCACGTCGTCGCCCTCGTTTGTCATCCTTGCGATGGAACAGGCATAGTCATTAGGGTAGCAGTTGATCCAGCAGCCGTTTAACTCCTGCGCCGACCACAGTGGTTGCGACCCACCGGCAGCAGTTTCGGCCACCGTTCGCGTCATTTGCTGCGTCTGCGGCGGAGGTGTCGGTGCCACCTGCATTGGTGTCACCGGCGTTGCTATCACCAACGGCGCATCGCTGACAGGAACGGCCGCCACCACAGGGGCTCCCATAGCAGGTACCGCCGTCGCTGTGACCACTGGCGCCGGCGCCGCGGGCACGTTCACAATCATCTGCTGCCCTGCGCCGACGGGAGCGATGACCTGCATTGGCCCTGTCGGAGTGTTGACCTGAAACATGGTGCCCACCGTCACGCCGGCCGGAACCGTCACCTGCATCTGCTGCGTCGATAAAAACCGTGCCTCCACACCATGGAAAAAGGCGGCGATGGCGGCGGCCGAGGCGGCCGCGGCCGCGGCGGCAGCAGCAGAGACGGCGCCGGCCGGCGAGGGCGGCGAGGGCGGCGAGGGCGGCGAGGGCGGCGAGGGCGGGCAGGGGGAGAGCTCAGAGACGCTAAGCGCGCCGGGCGGGCTGGGCACCACGTAAAACCGCGGGCGACAGCGACGGCGGCCGTGTCTCCCGGCGGCCGATATGGCCGGCGCCGTGATGCTGCGCCGCCCCCGCTGGGCGGGAACCGCGGCGAGGGAGGTGCGACTTAGGTCAGCTTGCAGCCGCCGGGGGTAGTTGGCCAAAGAGCTTCCACCAGGTTGGGGTGCGTGCCCGGGGGCGGCGCTTCTCTCCACCGATACCTCAAGCACGCGTTGAGCCTCCACACAAGTCTGCGTAGGAAGTACAGTTCCATTTCGGAACGTTCCATTTCGGAACAAACCGCACCTTTCACAGCCTTGTTATTGAGAAGAAAATACCTCCTATGGCGCTGTGCGCTGGCCTGTGATGTTCACATAATCTTGAATTTGTATTGAGAGGCCATGACATCTCGAACGGGGACCGCCATCTCGTGAGTCGTGTTCAAGTTCTCATCTCTCATGCTGTTGTTCGCGCTCACAAGTCACATTCATATAGAGAGGTCCTTCACCCCGCGGGACAGCTAGCCTTGGAGATCGGGGAGCATAATCTCGCTGCTGCGCGGGATATCGGCGTCCGTTGGCCTGGACGCCCTCTTCGAGCCCTTCTGCTTCTCGGCCTTCTCCCTCGCGGCCTGGCGCAGCGCGCCCGCGCGTATCGAGTCGGGACCGGCGCTTCTGCTCACCACCCTGGGCTCTGCGGAGCGCGAGATCATTTGGCAC